ATACAACGTTCTTTATACTAACCTTAACCCTAAGCAAAATAACAACAAACGAATATTTACTATTGGCACGTGATTTGCAAATAAGTAAATCGGTCCCAAATAAGGAGGTCGTCTAAAGCCAGGTTCGTTCACGTGACTTACAACCAATCAAGTCGTAAATTGTGATTTACCCGGATCAGCCCGACGAGACAAAAACAAAGAAAAAAAGTGAAAAACGTAAAAAATACGAGAAACGAGAGTCTAAACCTACCTCGGGGCACTAATAAAAAATGTCGGGAGGACAATTTTACCTATAAGCTTTATTCTAACCTTAACCCCTAACCAACCCTTACCTTAATTTTAATTAAATAATCAAAAACATATAAATGCACCGGGCTTTAGCCATCCCCCAAATAAGGAAATGATGATCCCGATCATGCATATTGGTTAAGCCAATCAAAATTGTAAATTTTTATTATGCGAAAAGTATCACGTGCTGATTAGCCAATGAAATTTTAAATTTTTATAAATTGAAAAGAAACGAAATTTAATTAAAATTTATAGTTAAAGTTCGTTAAAGTTCAAAGTAAATGCCACCAAAAGTTATTATTGGGTAAGCAAGCATATATTGACTAATTTAAATAATTTTTCAATAGTATTCGTTTCTATTTATAACAAAATCTCAATCATCTATATATGTCTAATTCTACGTCTAATACGTTTAATTCTACATCTATTCAGATTTCTAAGATCTTAAACTATACTATCTTACATTACACAACCATTATTCTAATAAGAAAACCGCGATTTTAATATATATCGTGCATGTATATAAACTTTTCATCGTATCCTAAAAGCTTCTACAATGATAATATTAATAAATTGTATGGTTAATTAATATTATTCGTATACTTCCAATATTCTAAAAGATTTCTATGCGATACATGTAATAAAAAAAATACAAACTAATTTCTCCCTTCTACAATACCATCATTAATCGTTATTTTAAGCTTTTTTACGTTTTTTTTGCTAGATTTTGTTAATGTAGTGATTATAATTTACTTATAACTTCGGCAGGTAAATTATACTATGAAGGTCGAATGATTCAGAATGATTCAACCAATATTGTTAAAGTATAGCACGAAAACTTTAAGTTTACTTAGAGAACTTGTCTGCTTTAAAGATGACCCGAGCTTCCGAAAAAAGTATTGTAACACGTATAAAAAAAATTTTAAATCAATTGAATTACTTGTGTAATGATCTGCAAACTCGGGGCATACTCGGGACGGTCCCTCCTGTTATAAGCAGGGATGTTAAAAGTCCGACTCCATGAGTCGAGTTTTAATCTCGACTCAGTCCTGAGTCGGGTTCGGACCGAGTCTCAATAATCTTATAGTAGTTACATGCAATGTTAAGTAATGTTAAGGGAAATTATACGGATACATCTATTTACCCCCCGCCAAAATGGAAATGATCATCATTGTTTATATGATTTTGATATTAAAAAAAAATACAGTCAATTAGTATTGAGGTTAGTATAAAGAACGTTGTATAGTAAAATTTGGCCAGGAATTTTTTTTATTAGAACGTAAAAGGTGATTTCTTAGGGAAAATTTAGAGTTACCGGCGATGTTTTGAAAAAGCCTTCGATTTCACGTTACACAAGGATTGCACCTGATCTTGCGATCTACATATAAAAATTTCCTTTTTTGGATTTGTATCACTTGCGCAAATAAGTGTACGCGCCTCAGTGTATTACATATTAGTTAAGCAGAAAATATAATAATGAAGGTTTATACAAAGGAAAATTTTTGACAAAATTTTCGCAATAGCCGTATAGTAACCTCCAAAAGTTTGACTTTTTTTTTTTAAATCCAGATTAGTGGAGTTGAACATTTATATAAAATTAATAAGAAAAAAAGGGTGTTTATTCACAATACAATAAATAATGAGTTAAATTTTATGTTTTCTGTGTAATAATAGATTTTTAGAGGTTACATATTCAACTGTTTTGACCCGAGTTGTAAACTTTTGACCAGGTTGAACCGTTTTGACACGGGTGACCCGGTTTACTACAATCCGGTTCTAAATTCCAGAGGATTGTTGTGAATTGGTCTGCGACGAGTAAACTATAGGTGTACCTTTGTTCCAGGTCTTATCAATGGTACTAGATGTCAATTTACTGAAGAAATAATGTTATCAGATTCGTGCACATCTATAAAAACTTAACCTAACTAAAGGTGCACTTACAGGACAATGTCATATCCTTCCTTATGGCGAAAAGCTGCAAATTCTTGACACTTTTTTTTATATTCTCGCAAAGTAGTTTCAAAATTGCGATAAAACTAAATATAAAATTGTATAAAATTGGTTAAGATTAAAAAGATTATAAATTCCAAATAAAATATATAAATATATACTTTGATTCCTTCTTGTAAGTTTGATAATATTTCTTTGAATTTTTGATACGCCGTATTAAATTTCTCAAGTGTTTCTGACCTTCCAAAAGTATTCATTACTCTATTACGTTCTTCTGTTAACTCTTGGTATTTTCTCTAAAAAGTGTAAAAATGTGGATTTTTTCCTTTAAAAAAAAAAAAGAATTCATTGAAAGAAAAAAAAAAGACAATATTTAACCATTTTTATTTACCTCAATATTGCTCAACAATTTTTCTTGATTTTCAGTTTCACGCTGCACAAGCTCTAAATATTTATCATATTTTTTCAACTCTTCACTGAACAGTTCTTCAAAGTGCGCCGGCTCGATTTTTATCGCAGTACCATTGGCAGTAATTTTTGCAGCCTCTTTGAGTAATTTAGGACCTAAAGTTTTAATAAATTATATTAAGAATTGCTGCAAAAATTTTTATTTTAAATTCATGTGATATTTGATATTTAATATTTGATATAGATACCAATATCATCTAGATTAGAAACTTTTTTAATTTCTTCAATAGTCTTATTACGTTCTCCAATATTAGCATGGGCTTCATTTATAAGATTCCGTAACTCATTGTTCCGATTTTTAATATTTGATTGTGCAGATGTATCAAAAGTGAAACTTGACTGAATGGTTTTTTTAATAGTTTCCTATTAATGATAATTAATTAATTAATAACAAATGAAGTAATAGAGTAAATAATAAAAAATACTCACCCTATCAGAACCTAATGATTCAATGTGTTGACTCCATTGTTCTAATTTATTTTTGACTGCCAAGTCACCTTTGAACGCCTGTTGAAGAATTTGTTGATGATTTAACCCTTGATCTATCAAATCTTTATTAGCTACAATAGATTTCTTTCTTGTCCATCTTTCTCCAAATTTCTTTTCCCATTCTTCATCCTCAATGGCCTCTTGATCTAAAATATTTAATGCCTACAAAAACAAAATTGAACTAATTATTAATTTTCAAAAAAAACTTTTTTTTTATAATTCAGTCGAAAATTAACAATAAACCTCATCTAAAATTTGATTATTATTTGGAGATGCATCTTGTATGCTATCAAACATTGCATTCAGTCTTGTTACACCGCCTTCATTGCGAACATCTTGTGAATTTGCCAATATTAATTGTGGAATTATCTGATCATCTGTTTCCAGCGATAAAGAAGATAAATTTAGGGATTTTAATGTACTAATAATAATTTAATTATAAATCAATGAATTTGTTAGCTCTTTAAATTATATACACATCTAATTTAATTTTAATAACTTATTCAAACCTGTTACAGATACTTGTTAACTCATTCAATTTAAATAAGATTTCTTCCTTTACCAATCTTTCTTTACGATCGGAATATACACTATGAGCCTGATGAACAGCAAAAGGAACGAGTTTTACAAACAATGGAAGACCCAAAATAGATCTTTCATTCATCAAGGAGATTGGATCATTGACTTCTGGAGGAAGTGCTGGACTAGCCAGACTTGCCCGACCAATTTGAGGTAATGATGAAGCTGAAGGAATAGTGTTTAAATATATAATATCATTATCTTTTACAGCACGGCTAAGATTTGAAGTAACAACTGTATGTAATGACTAAAAAATCATAATATTAAACGTTAGAAGTTATTCATAAATTTGATGTGTAAAAATGTTTACAATGTTAATTTATTGATCTGACCTCTAAATCTTTTATTACAGCTTCTCTTAAATTTTTACGTTGATCAAATGCTCGATTCACGTACCCCTCAGCTACTCGCAACCTCGCAATTTCTTCACCATACTTATTTTGACTAATGCATTCACAAGATTTGCGAAATTTAGCAGCAGCGGCAAAATGCCATGATTTTACTTGCAAATGTGTAAGCCAATTCTAGATTAATAAATCAGATCAAATTTATTAATTAAAATTTATTTAAAAAGGGTTTAAAAAAAAAAAAAAAAAAAAAAAATCTAAAACACATCACATCACATTTAAGAAGAATCATAACATACTTGACCTATTAATTTTGAAACTTCTGGATTATTTGTCGCTAATTCAAATGCTGTCTCATAGTATGTAGACACCTGACTTGCTAATTTTGCCACATTTCCATCCTTTAATTTTTCTTAATTGGAAAGTCAATTGGAAATGAATTATATGAATTATAATTAAAAAAAAAATAATAATTTTGATAAAAATAACGAGGATTATACGCTATTCACCATATACAGCTTTTTGCCAAAAACATTCTTGAGCTTGTGCCAACATAATATTCATAAGAACATTTAAAGCAGCAGATGACATATCCGATGTTGGCAGTATTCTCATTTCTGGTACTACTACATTATCCAGATGTTTGAAACAACCAGCCGCGTTCTAAATTTAAAAATTATTTTCAAAAAAAAAATAGTTTTCACAAATGGTTCTCAGCAATTATTTTTTAAACCGAAATTTAGAATATCTAAATTACTTGAAAATATTGACAAGCCCTTTTGACACCTTCGGGAGTTAACCTGCTTTCCGAGATGCCGAGCTTGCTATACATGGCACCAATATTAAATAGTACACAAGCTCTCTCATAGTAAAAATTTTTATGTGCAACTAATAATATGAAACAAAAAGAATTGTAAGAATTATACGAAATATACTTAATATTTTCAACAAAAATTATTCTTTTACATATAAACATAATGCGTATTATAAAACATACCCGGCTTTTTTTCGTTATTTGGAAAAGCTGAATACCAAGGAAATTCTATGCCTACCTATGAAGACGTACAAAGGTCAAAAAAAATCAAAATTTGGATAATATTTAAAGACGTTTTTTTTGACCTACGTCAATTGGAAATTTAGCACCAATGAAGACTAGTTGCCCATAATATCTGAAGGATAAGATTTAATCGTTTGAACAAGTTTTGGATCCAAAGTTTTTCTCTTCAGTGAGATCAAAGAGAAAAAAAAAAGTCAGGTAACCCACTTTTGCAGCCGATATAGTGCATTTTGGTGTACCTCCAAATTCAAACAATCAGTCCTAAGTTCGTCAAGAATGCGTAAATCGTCAGTGTATATGTCTGGATGTTCATCATAGGAATAGGAAATATAATCTCTAAGAGTAGTTTTGAGAGCAATACGCTCAGTTTGTTTGAAATCAACGGCAAGAATATTAGACATTGTTTTTCAACTTTATAATAACAACAAACAAACAACGATGATAATTATCGATCATCACACATTTAACACTTAAATTTAACTCGACGATAAATACGATAAATACAATATTTGCTGTGCCAAGAATTTAGCCAATCAATACGTATCAATTTTGTTTATTTTTAGATTCTTATTATAAAATGTATAAAATAACTATATAAAACTACATACGATACATATATATTAAATCTATATATTTCATAAATTACAATTTGGAATTAATCTTATTAATTATGGATTCATTTCCAGTTTCTGCATATAATTTATCAAGAATGTTACGAAAATGTTTTTGAGCTTCATGACGTTTAAGTTTCAAACTAAAAAAAAATTTTTAAATGTTAATTATCAAAAATGAGAGTAAATTGGAATATTGTAAAAAAAAAAAAAAAAGATGCTCACGTTGGAGTCAAAAGGTTGTTTTCAATTGAGAATGGAACACCGGAGAGATGAATGGCTTTAACAATTTCAAAACTAAAGAATGCAGGAAAGCATAAGTTTATAAAATGAAAAACATATATACATATGTATAGTACTATGTAATAATACTAACCCTTTAAGTTTCGATTGTTTTGCAATCTCATTCATATGCTCCAAAAAAGCACTTTTCACAGTTTTGTCATTAACAAGAATTTCTAATCCTTTTTCATCACCCAAGGAAACGTTTTGGTTGGTCAATGCATTTGCCCACGGTACAAAAGTTTCAGGGTCTGGTACAACAACAGCAACAAGATAATTGCGAATAGAATCACCATGGACAAATATTTGAAGTATCAAGTTGGAATTCACATATTCATTTTCGAGCTATTTATCAATAATAAGAGAATAATTAATAAACAAATAAATAAATATATATATATATGTATATACGGTATTCCGTTTATTATACAATTACGTTGATAAACCTACTTTTTCAGGGGCAACGTATTCACCGTGAGATAGCTTGAATATATTCTTTTTTCTATCAATTATACCAAATGCACCTATTAAATATAAAGTCACGATTATATTAATACCATAATTATTACCGTTATTATTTGATTAAAAATTTTATCAACAAAAAATAATCACCTCTTTCATTAACGTATGCAACATCACCACTATGAAGCCATCCTTCCGAATCAATTGTTTCTTTTGTTTTAGCATCATCTTTATAATAACCAACAAAGATATTTGGACCGCGATAGCAAAGTTCACCGCGAGGATAAGGTTTATCAGTTGAATAATAATTCATCTCTGGTACATCTACAAGCTTAATTTCATTACTAAAAAATAAAAAATAAAAATAAACAATAAACAATAAAAATAAAAATAAAAATAAAAACAAATAAAAATATAATCAATTTAATAAACATATATAGATAAGCAAATAACGGAAGACAATTACCATGAAAGAGGACCTCCCACATGTCCAGCTTTATTCTCACCCTTTAAGGTAATAGTCGCAACAGCAACACCTTCAGTTTGTCCATAACCTAAAATGAAGAATAAATTTAAGAACAAGTCCCATAAACCCATAAACCCATACACTCATACACCCATAAACGCATACACCCATAAACCCACACACCCATACACTCATGCAACCATACACTCATGACCCATACACCCATGCGCCCATACACCCATACACTCATGCACCCATACACTAATGCACCCATACACCCATACACTCATATACGGAATAAAAGAGTATCTTATTCCACGGTTCTGATTTATATTTTCATTTTTGATTATTTATCTTGTTTTTTAAAGGTTCTTATACCTTAATTAATATATTGTCAAAAAAAGTTGTGAACAATAAATTAAACTTTACGAAATACACAACTTTTAATTAACGTATAAAGGACCGTGGAATAAGTCAGTTATTGTCCAACATACTAACCTTCAACTACGTCACAAGCAAAAGCAACCCTCAAGAATTGTAATATTTCAGGACCTATAGGAGCAGAGCCTGTAAGAATTACTCTTACACGACCACCTAGAACTTGTTTTATCTTGTTGAATATAATTCTATCCCAAAAGGCATGAGTATAACCTTTTCCATCCTCTAAATTTTGAAGTTTTGCAGCAATAGCTCTACGTGATAATGCACCTTTAATTCCAGGAGCATACACGGTATTTTGTTGAAGTTTAGCATGCACACGCGTAAGCAAACGCGGAACAGAAGGAAAAACGGTAGGTTTAAGTTCAGCAATGTCGTCAATAAGATTAAGTACATCACCACGGAAGTAACCGATACTGGCACCGCCGGTAATCATTAGCATTTCAGCCACAAGTTCTAATACGTGAGCAAGCTATAAGATAAAAGTATAATTAAAAGTATAATATAAAAGTATAATTAAAAGTATAATATAAAAGTATAATTAAAAGTATAATATAAAAGTATAATATAAAAGTATAATTAAAAGTATAATATAAAAGTATAATATAAAAGTATAATATAAAAGAATAGTTAAAAGTATAATATAAAAGTATAATTAAAAGTATAATTAAAAGTATAATATAAAAGTATAATTAAAAGTATAATATAAAAGTATAATTAAAAGTATAATTAAAAGTATAATATAAAAGTATAATTAAAAGTATAATTAAAAGTATAATATAAAAGTATAATATAAAAGTATAATATAAAAGTATAATATAAAAGTATAATTAAAAGTATAATTAAAAGTATAATATAAAAGTATAATATAAAAGCAATCAAGACATAAATAAAAAAATTTTTAATTAATTAATTAATCAATAGATAAATAAAAAGGAATAAATAAAATTTAAGAAATTACCGGTAAATATGAAATAAGAACCTGAAAAATAAAAGAATGTAAGGACATAGATAAAGAAGAATAAATAAAAGTCACATTATACAAGTTATACAAGTTATACAATTATTATACAATTATGCTAAATAAGACACATACATCATTTGGAAAAACCTCCCAGGCAAAATCGAAGCCGTTTCTCACACCGATGCAATTTGAATGAGTAAGCATAGCACCCTTTGGAGTACCAGTTGTACCTGAAGTATAACAAATAAAAGCAAGATCACTCGGAGAAGGAGGATTATGTCTACGAGGATGTTGTTGGCCCAATTTTTCAACCTCATTAAAGTCCAATAATAAAATGCCATTATCACGTGCCCACGCCTTTAAAATTTTTCCAGTAGTAACTGAATCAATAGGCGCAGGCGCAGGGGCACTGTCGTCAAACTCATCCATTGAAATAATTACTTTCATTACAGGAACCTTTGGCGCAATTCGAATAAGCTCAGGGATGCGATTAGCGCCAGCAACCACAATTGGAACTTCAGAATGATTTACGATATATTCAACAGCCACTATAAAAAAAAAAAAAAAAAAAAACAATAATTATATTCAAACAATCATAGTCAAAATAATCATAGTCGAATAGAGAAAAAATATATTTATTTACGTGGACCAAAAGTATCATAGATCGCAACAGTGATGAGATTATAAGCAATAGCCGCCTGAATTTTTTAAATTATTAGGATACAATTTCCACATTTACGCGTTAAACACGTTAAACACGTTAAAACCGTTAAAAAGTTAATAATTGCAAATTGTAAATACCTGATTGGTAATGAACCATTCTTAGTAATTAAAGAGCATTGGTCAGAATAATTAAAAAAGCATTGATCAAATTGTTGGATTTTTTTTTTTTTTGTTTCACAAAATGTGAATTATGCCATTATTTTCTTACCAGGCCTATTATTTGAATGGATTCCGACACACCATTGCTTCACCTTAGGATTCTTTACAACCTATAGGCGAAAAGAAAATAAAGTTATTTCACTTAGGTACACCTATGTTAAAGTTATTTATTTAAACCATCAAACATACGGTTTCACTCAAGTGCAAAAGTCCGGAACCAAAGTTGGTCATACGCTCAGCGACTTGTCTGTAGGTCTGCCAAACATAACCTCCATATCGTTTAGATATCTTATTATAAGGTCGATGTGCAATACAATTTCGGTCAGTTGATATTTTAAATCCTATAAAGATAAAAAATAACAGTCAGTAAAGAAAATGGCGGGACTAATTCCAAGTAATTCAAACTTTTATTTTTATTAAGCCTACCACATTGAAAATTGTCATATAGAGTTTTAACTTCGGGACTGTAAAAAGAATTCGGTTATCAATAATAGGTTGTACATAAATTTTCTTCATACATGATATGGTGAACATGATATGGTGAATTAGGAGAACATTATAAAACCTTGATGAATCAGTCAGAGATTCAGTGTGAAGCGCATTACGATAAATCCCCGTTTGTCCAGGTCTCCTTGTATTGGGCAGCTCGACTGAATATATTAGTGGCTCCGTCATTTTATTTGTAGTTCTAATTGTCTAATTGTAAGCAATCTTTATATAGTTTTTAGTGTTGCATACGATGATAACCGTTAACATAACCGAAATGTAATCATCGGTCGGGCATTCGAATATGGAGTTATTCACCGAATCCTACTATCGCTATATTGATATATTTACTATATTTTAAGTCTGGAGCCAATTAAATCTTCTGGCTTTCACGGAACTTCCGATCCTTAAAAATTAAAGATTCACCTACGTAGTAATCCAAACTAGCAGTAGATCAAAGATTCTAAGCATTTTACCAGTTATTTAAAGGTCTAGCGTTAACAAAAGCTTGACTCTGAATCCGGAATTGATCATCTATAAGATACCCAAGATTATCTTATTTGTTTAAATGTAAGATTATCGCACCAAGATAAGTGTAAATGCGCGCGTGCATATTTACGTATCGGTATCGGTATCTGGTATGTAGCTTCATTTAATAGATTTAACAGTTAACCTCAAAAAAAAAAAACCTTTTTATAACACGACTCTGTTATTCATTGACACATTTAACCTATTTTTCATAGTATGTACGTACGTACGTACATTATGTACGTCTCTACAAAAAGTATACAAACTAGACTCTCCATCTTTGTACTCATTTTCCGCTTTAAGATCATCTTGTAACACTAATGAAATGTGTGATAAAAATGATAAAATGATATAAAATGATAAAATGAAGTACGTACGTACGTAGCTAGATAATGATAATTTAGATGCGTAGGTATGTACGTACGAACATACGTGGCTTTGTTGTTACCTATGAAATATTTGTTTTTGATTACAATATAAAGATTGTAAAACAATGTACTGGTGAATTGTGTGTTCTAATTGACCGACATTCATTAATTCAAATACCAAACACATTCTATAAAATATAATGTTTGTTTAGAAATTGACAGTTTATTTTGGTTATTCGGCAAAAATTGATACGTATGTAGCTTATTTCATTCTATATATCGATGTATTTTTATGAGGTATACCAAGATTAGGGTGAGTGGCACAGAAGTCACAGGCATGCCACCCAGTGTCTGAAATTCAATTTTTAATTTAGTTGCGGGCCGCAACTAAATAAAAAAAAAACTTTACTTGCGGATTATATGGATCTAGTTGCGCATATGAATGTATTTATATGCAAATTCGAACATATCTATTATGCAAATTCACAAAATTTATTTGCGGAACCAGCATATACATTTCAGATTTTAGTTAATTTTAGTTGCGGAAACTTATAAATCATTTGCGGTCCGCAAGCTCCGCAACCCAATTTCAGGCACTAGGCATGCCTATGGTGGCATGCCATTGGCATGCCCACAACTTAAATGGTCAATAGGCATGCCATTTATTATAGTTCCGGAATATTCCGAGTAGAAAATCAAAAGTTCGAAAGAAAAATTGAAGCAAACTTCCGAAATATTCCGAAAGATACAAAACCGCACGTATATAACCGACCAATCAAAATTATTTTATCACGTAGTTTAGTAGCATGCCACCCTGGCATGGACGCCTGGCATGAGCTTTGGCAAATGGCATGCCATCTGGCATGATTTTTTAGCCGTGCCACACACCCTAACCAAGATGTACTTTGCGTATAATAAATCGAGGCGTTCTTATATTTTAAAATTCACTCGGTAGATCAAAGTACTTAAAGTCGTCTCTCATGTTTTAATGAGCCCGAGTAGAAATTGTTACTCGAAATATATAATAACTTATCTGGATAACCCGGTAAATATATAGCAAACGGATATCCGGATAAATTCAGATATGGATGACAGATTTATCCGGATTGAAACTCTAAAATTTATCAAACGAGCAACTATTTTCAATGAGTCAATCTGTCTAGTGAATTTTAAATAGAGATTGGACCCGTTGAGAAAATCTCTACCCGGTATTATTAAATTATCCGGCAAACTCTTATGATCATGAATTGCCATCTGTCTTTCATGTGTTACGATGTAATCATGTTTATTCAAATTAAAACTCGGTCGATAATCATGATCATAAATTGCCGGATAACACCAATATTGGGCAATTTGTCGAATACGATAATTT